GTGTTCTGACTACACAGAATTAGGCAGATCGAAACGTGCATGTCCACAGACGTAAGTTTTTCACACTCGGCTTTTATTTCACATTTATCAATACAATTCAGTTCTTCGAAATAGGACGCACGTTCCGTTTACGCTGATTGTTGGGTTTGGTTTCCAAAATCCTGTTTTGAAGACTGAACACCAGGTATTGTAATACACGACCTCAACTGGGGCTGCCAGACAAATGCCCAAGTTATCAGTAAGAGAGATAGCAATGTAGCAGAAATTAATCAATACACCTAATCAGGTTATAACCCCGTAGCAGTGTAACCTATCCTCAGGTGGAGTTTGAGTGCTACTGTATCTATGTTGGTATGCATTTTGGACCTTTACAGTGTAAAAAATTGCTACGGGACTGGATTGGTCCAGTTACCATCTTCGACCTGACTGGGAAAGTAGTAGAGGAAGTAGACAAGTTTTGCTATCTGGGCAACTACATATCACCTGGCGGATGCCTCATAGATGAAGTGTCGACTCGCATACGGAAGGCTCGGTTAGCATTTGCCAGCTTGAGAAGTCTGTGGTGCTGTCGCGATATCCGGATTTCTGTGAAGGGTTGAGAGTATCCTGCAGCAATTCGATCAGTTTTGCTCTACGGTGAAGAGACTTGGCCACCACAAGAACAGGATAAAAGTAGATTGTCGGTGTTCCAACATCGTTGTCTACACGGCATTGCACGAGTTTGGATGGGAAGCCGAACAAGTAATACTGATTTTAGACGCAGAGTTTATGTGATCGCGGCCGCCAATTGGAGCAAGTGGTTAATCTCCATAGATTACGTAGATTGCGGCATGTCACCGAACAGGTCTCCACGGTGCGCTTTGTTTGCCGTGACAGGAAGCGGTTGGGAAAAGCTCAAGACTGATAGAACTAAGACGTGGCGCGGGGGTGCGAAAACCTTAACCATGAGGCTTGGTCACATAGGTAACATTATGCTCCCATAGATGGGGGACCCGAAATCATGGTAACCAATGGTTAGAGACACTGAGTGATATGGCCAGGTGTCGCAAATGGTGGTGCTCGAGCATCTGCTCATTATCCCTGCAACCTTAGTCCATGTGAATTCTTTATGTTAACCTTGAATCCGCTCTCAGCATTCCAATCTTCATTATGCTACCTTATTCAAATGGACAGATGGGAAAGATGGTTGTCCAGTTGGGTACCTAAGACTTTAGGGCACGTCATACTTCAAATGGACGGCCAAAATAAAGTAACGAAAACCAGCGCACAAGAGTACATGGTTAATGGCTGTAAAAACCGAAAAACGGGAAAAGTAACAATGTGACATAACGGTCGCTTGATAGAATTGGTCGGACAAAAGACCAGAAATGAAGCATACCAAATTCATGCAAACTCTGAATAGGTAGATGAACAGATCACTGAAAAAATATATCTCTTTGGCAGGGTGATCCTTTGTTGTAAGGGGTGTATGATTTCATCTAAAAAACCATCGTTTATCTGGCCAACTACACTGTGAGTTGTGCTTTATAACATAAAGCGAGAAGAATATTGTCCTTTCCCCGGTATATTCCAATACACACAGGTACGGATACGTATTATCCACTGTATGCAGCCTCCAGCCCCATTTACCCGTACGTCCATCATAATCACTCTCAGTAATGCACTTATCGGCCGGCCACTTGATGATCACGTGATAGTGTGGATGTACCGCGTGTGGTGGTTCACTGTACCGGCCGCGTTCAGTCACGTGCCTATCAATCTTGTATCTATCTATCTGTTGACTGTGTCGTACACTTGTAGCAGTGGTGAAAGCACATAAAGTTTATATTAGCTACACAACAGGGAGAAAAAACACGTACGAAGGTAAATACAATAATGGAAGAAGCATTATTAAATTACTTTTAATTGCAATAACAAGTAGGCTTACTTGAAATAATATAACGATGGGGGTATAGTAAATCATTTTCGCCCATGTGCTCACGTGTCGCGCAGCGAAAGGCGATCCAAAAAGTAGTGGGAAAGAAGTGATCACCAACAGACTACCAACAAAATGCCATGCTTTTCGCCCACGTGGAAGCCATGACCAGAAACGGGAAGGACTACGCACTGTCACGTCTTGTATCAGGTCACTGGTAGACTCGGAGGAGTACACTGTGTGCTCGAGGTGCCCGTTCACCCCCTGACCATTCGGTGCACGCTGATAATGCACCGGCGCGTGTGCCTGCAGGGAGGAGGACGTTTTGTCTGAAAAAAAGCCGACGAGAGGTGTGGCCAGACCATCAGCGACTTGACCCAAAAGGACCACTGTCCCAGCCAACACTGTCGGCACCCCGACTCCGAATTTGAAATAGACAAGAGTATAGGTGAACCAAACCGACGCGCAGAGGTCATTCAAAACGTGACCAATCGCATAGCCCAGCCGCACGCGCCACGACAACCCCATGATGCTAAGCGGGGGTAGAAAAAGAAACGAACTATAAGAATCACCAAGTTTTGATTGGCTATGCAACCGAATGACGTGGAAAGAGCAAATTCGTCATTTTACCAAACAGCACGTGATTCGACGGTCATGTGTTGTTTAGCGTGCATATGACATGTGAAAAGTTGATCGACAGATTCGACAATAAGGCGACGGGGGGAAACTGCAACAAATTAGATCCAACAGAATCATCAAAACCAAAATCCGTTTTGGAGTTGATCACTGCTCGAGGATTTTTCACATGGATCACCCGACAGGAGCGCACCAACCTCGTCCGTTCCATTATAACAAAGTCAAAGTTTTATTATTGGAATTACTTACAAGCTCATGGTTCTCTAGTCTCTATTGGATAGTTACACAGTTTAATTGATTCTCGGAGAAAAAATCACATACCAACAACAATAACAAACAGATAAGATTGCACATCAATTGTGAATCGAGCGGACATGCGACAGATGCTGATGCTTATCCAGATTTGTAAAGATGGGTGCACACGCGATATGACCAGTCTACTTACATTTGAACTGAGTCAACGTGAAAACATGGCAACTGACACGAGAAAAGTTACACTAGTGGATTTACGCGGCAAGAAACGGGAATACGCTCCCATTTGTTCCTCCGGTTGTGCGCTTACATGCATGACAGAATTTGTAACAGTTTACNAGTTTACCATACTGCCTTGAAATTGGAGACAAACAAGTTTTAAAACTCTGTCAGCTAAAGCACACCTGAAGCATGTATTTCATCAATTACGCCCTTTTGATAATCTGCTGCGAAATGACAGCCCATAAAACCTGGTCACGGTAGCACTTTTCGGATTGAAGGCCATAGCACCCGATGATGAGCTAACATGCTCCGGATTCTCCGCTCGCACGATTACCGATGCATCATGCAACCGATTCGGAGGTAGTCACTAATCACACGAGAACACGTTTTAGACGAGGTGGAGGTTAGTAGNTCGGTAAATTGTGCCATCAGTTATTCGTCAAACGCATACCTATCCCGAACTAACGGATAACGTTAAATGAATAAACTCTCAAGCGTACACTGTACTAAGGAATTGGAATTGAATAAACACGCCGAAAATTACTTAAGGGGTAAGTTAAATAATTCAGAACAAAAAACTGAGCTTATCACAAGCATTCTCATGTGTCGTAAGTGCATATACATTTCTATATTTCAAATTGCGTAAACAGACATGCTCCGGAAGTGGTCAATTGCAAAAGTGACACCGGGGACAACTGTGATAGCGAATTTCCCCGACACTTTGGGATCATTTAGGAAACGGATTTATCCATACCAGGAAAGTAGCTGTAAAAAGGTTAAGCTAGAGAAGAACAAGAATGAAAGACTAAGAACGGACGATGCGGTCACAAACGAGGGAGATGTTTGTAACTAGGGTATTTGATGATATTTTTAAACACAATTTCAACTTGAGTGCTTTCGAATACAGCTGATCCCGAATATCTGGTCTTTTGAAGTGGGCATCATTTAGTAACTGGGTGAATGGACTACTTTTCAATTACTTTCTCTCTTAAAATTGCATCACTGTTCTCATTCACATCAATACAAACTGTCTGGTTTGATTTTTCTGTCTGTGGACAGTGATCGTAGTGTTGATGGATGCAAATGGTACACGATGCGACGAAACTGAATCGAATGAACAATCGATTTTCGCCACAACACGAACAAACGCCACACATGATAATTTTTGCGAACGTCCAGCTACTATAACCAATCAACTGGACTAGAACACGGATACGTTCACACTGAAGGAAGAAGTCACAAATCAAGATGGATCTGCCCAATGTAGCCAGGATCATTTCGTTGTATCAGTACATGACCGTACTACAACCAGTAAAATGACGGAAGCAAACGGGAGGTAAGATAGTCAATGACAGCAAACAACACAAAAACGAAAGACATGAGAGAGTGACCATAATCACATACATATATATACATACATACCTTTTTTCTTTTCATTTTACTTCCTTTTATTGAATATGCAAATATGTAATTTTCAGGAAGGGGGAGGCGACCTAACATAGGGCTGTCATTCAACACATAATGGGGAAAGCCAGACGGTGGTGGTGGGAGTCGAACACACACACCCTGGGGTGATAATTTCGCGACTTTACCACCGCCCATACGTACATACATACTTGCATACATACAGGGCCAATGCCACTATACTGAATGGCTTGTCATGTGAACCTAGACGAACGCCTTCCCTCAAATCAGTTTCTCGATGCTGCTATTGGCATTCTTGTTTTAGCTGCATCAATGACTGAAAATCACTTTTACTGTACCTGCACTAATGCAAAACATATTCTGTAAATCACCTATTCCAGACTTGTGAATTGCCAAGGTGGGACGGGAAACTAGTGTTTTTCAGTAGGTTTATATTGACCACGTTTTCCGGGAGGGACTTCCGCCGAATTGTTTCAAAGTCAAAGTCAACGTTTTATTATGTGAATAGCTTACAAGCTGGTGCTTCTCTTGTCCCATAGGATATTTACACAGATGAATCGTTACAGATCGAAAAAGGAGTCGCATAGAGATCCGGGTAGGAGATAATAGAGAATGTAGGTTACAGTGAATTTCCGTTTGCCTTCAGTGTACGAATGTGAGGTGTACCAAGGTTTCGTCGAGTCTCTGCTTGAAAGATTCAATAGTGGGTGCACAAACGACATGAAATGGAAGGGCATTCCAAGATTTGCATACTCTGACAGCAAAAGACTGGTGCCGGTAATCCAGTCGAGACTTTGGAATCAGTAGTTTGAAAAGATGTCCCCTTAGGTGTACATTGTTCGATAACATGAGAAGCGATCGACACGGATGGTTTGGGTTCTTTAGTATTTGATACGTCAAAATCAAGTCTCCTCGAGTTCGGCGATACTGAGCGGAATATAGTCTCAATGATCGCAATCTGTCCTCGTATGACAGGTAATGGAATCCTTTGACCATCTTGGTGGTCATCCTTTGTGGACGCTCAAGCATCTTGCGATCACGTTGAAGCCATGGACTCCAAGCTTGGATGGCGTACTGTGTATAGGGTCGAATGTACGCTGATAGCAAACGTGGGAATAGTGATGATTCAAACCGGCCAAAGACTCACCGAAGTAAGCCTAGGTGAGCGCACATGTGAAGAAACTCTAGGGGTCGGGAACCACTGTTAAACGTTGATCATTCTGTATCATCAGTGGTGACAGCGATGAAATCAGTCCTGATGTCCAGATGATGACAAGTTAAAGAAGATTAGCAAGTCGTTTACCTTCCACATTTTACGTAGTAGCCATTTACGCCAAAGGATTTGACGTAAAACATTTTCGTAAATACCGATAACTCACTCATAGACTTAGGAAAATAACTGTGCCGAACAGAATAAACATGCTAATCTAAGTCTAGGCACTCTTTAAAGGAGCGGTGAAAATGATGGGAGCAATAGAGTGAGATTGCAACTACGCATTTATTAGTACGTATAAGCTAACGTGTGTGGAGCTATAAAACACTTGACAATTTCATGAGTGACTCACTTAGCTGTGAACAGTTAGTTGGCTGTCCTGGTCAGTCTTCGACAATAAGTTCGTTCAGTACTGGATCCAAGTCTATTATGAAGCTACAAAGTAGAAACATAAACACTTTAGTGAGAATTAGACGAGGAAAAGAGGAATTCCAACTACTAGGCAAATGAATCGTTGTGGGAAGTGCTCCATCTTTAACGGAGTTTTTGTACCCCAAACCAGTAATCCTAACGAAGGCTGACTGAAGTTCACTCTGAACAGCGCCATACTATGATAATTGACATCGAGTTCCCGTGGGAGGTTCTCATTTGTCACAGTTTCACTCGTTTACTTTTGCTTCCTTTTTTCTTCGACTTTCCAATCGATTTTTTTCAAAACATCTTATTTCTGGGCGAGGATCATTGTAAATAACTTGATCTTGTGTTCAACGGGGTCTATTTGAATTTGACAATCTCCAGCCAATACGGGCGGTATTTTGGTGTCTTGGGTGAGGGTTTCACTGCCTGCCAATGCGCTCTTTTTCTCTGCTTTCAAGTGCATTTTGTTTACAATTGAAAACAGAGCATGATGACCTGAAAAATAGCACTGGACAGTAGTAATAACTAGGAGCGCTGTGATCTTTACTGTGGGGTAAACGTAACCCTTCATCGTTAAGGTGAAAGCCATAGGATCTTACACATACGACTTTAAAGAGGATGAAACAGGTGAACTGACTGCATTACTTAGACCGTAAAGTCCTCTGAAACGAGCATTTTGAGTAGTTCTCTTATTACAGGTATCCTTGGACGAGCAAACATAACTGTTCAATATGTGAACCAATAAATAGTTGGGCCAGGGTTTTATTTTATACAACCAAAAACCATGCATTTTTGTGTGGTGGTGTTGGTTGCTGATAGTTGGTTAATCATTTCAATGAACGGGACGGTGGAAGATTAGAATGCTGTAACAAGGCAAAGATAGAAAATTCAGATAGAATAGGCTTGCAGGGATGATAGGCAGAGGCATAAACAACACACTTTACAACACAGTCATATTGAGCAACGTCTCAAAAAGCTTTTCTATATTGGATGAAGGAGTTTTACAACGAAGGCGGGACGACAAAAGACAAACATCCGTAGCAATAACCGGCTCGGTGAAACACCGGCAACCAGAACAGGGGATTTGACTAAAACCCTTGATTCAAAGCAAGCTCAAAAAAGACTTATAGATCACATCCGCGTTTTTTGCTTCTATCAGCCGTCAGTGGCTTTATTGAGGAGTGATGTGTATCGGGCACCCTGGACGCACGGCACAATCCAAACGGTGAAGGATCCGATGAACTGGACACCAGCCCCCAATGGATTGCGGTTATTGCATAGCTCCTCCACTGCCTTGTGAGCCAAACTTTGACTAGCTGAATGCTCCGGCTGTGCATTCCCAATTTGGCGTCGCGCGCAGGAT